AAAATCTCTGCATAAGCTTCTTCATCAGAGCCAGTATATATTATTCTATTTTTTACATTAGACGCTATTACTCGTTCCTTATTTCGAAAATATTGAATAAGTTCTCTTTTTATTTGATCAATTGAATTTTCATTTGCCTTTATAGATATATAGATACGTGCTGCATGTCCATGTTTACAAAAATCACGAAATGATCCATGCCAAATGAAATCAAGACAGGTACATTTACCCGTAATATAATTAATCAGGAAGTATTGAAACTATGTGCTTTTCTGCAAGCTTTTTAATCATCTTAGACACTCTTTGAGCTTCACTATCTTCAAACCTAATCTTATCTGCCGTATACGGAGATCGAAAAGTATTTTGCTTGGAATTATTTATACGCACATAAAAAAAGTCTGAGTTGTCTGAAACTTCAAGAATGTTATTCTGTAATACTTTCAATTTTCCCTAATTTATACGGCATATTACATCAGATTGTAGTCTGCATAGCCCATTTTGGTGCTCAATAGTGCGTGAATTCCAGTATGTAACGAGCCCTGCACTAAAAACCAACTGCCACAATTCTCTGTAAAGTTTGAACGGGAAACCCTAATACCATAAAGACGTTCGATGAAGGTCAATACCGTTTGGATACCTGAATATCTTTCTTCGATAGTTCTATTCATCCTTTCAGTAAAGTTATTAGTAGTCCACAGCTTTGCATAAGGTTCATCTTCCTAACTAGATAAGCATCCGCCATCAATAAAACCAAGAATCCACTCTTTACAGAGCCAATTTTCCTCAAGATCATGTATAAAAAATGTTTTTGCTTGGATGAAAATTGGAAGTAAATTTATAAAATTTTTATATTCAATCGCCATTTCTTTGGCTTCAGTTATACTTCTGCATCTGCCAATAATTTTGAATGCCAATGCTATCAGATATCTGTATAAATAATATAACATATATAAATAATGTTATTAATATATGTTCAACATTTCATTATAATCCAATTTCAGTGTAAGATGTTATAATAAATATGTAAAAGATTCACTAAAAGTATTATCTAGTCCAATTATTGTACCCAGAATTGGATCAAATAACACTTTCCATAAATATTATGCATTACTATAAGCTCCAATCAATTTTTTGTGTTCGAAAATGATTTCTAAAAGTCTGCATTATATGAAACCAGCAGAGTATTGTACCTCTAAGAATAGGCTTTAATGCAGCCTTTGTTGGTCTGTGTTTGTCCATCATTGCGAAAGGTTTCCATTCAATTGCACACGGCCTTATACGTTTAAAGCCTTTATTATTAGGTAGTACAATATATTCATATGGATGATCACAATTTATATTTTTACAGGGTATATTTGCCCTTATTGCTTCAACTGCGAGCCTTATTGTATGCATATTCTCTTTGTTTGATAATGCAAATCCTATAGGCGTGCCTCAATTTCCTCCATCTTCTACTACAAGAGTATGAATAGGTGCTCGATTGTTATTTAGATCATATTTTGCATCGATGCCAAAACAAAATGAGCCATAATCTCTTGCTTGTTCAAGCCACATATTATCACTTACAGTAAGTTGATAATAGTGTTCTGGAGAATTTAAAGGAAAGTTTTGATCCTCTTGTTGATAATAAAGAACGAACTCTTTTTTCTTCAATTCATTTATAACTAAACCATGTAAAATTGTCCACGGTCCTACATCACGACTATATCAACTATTTCGTTCTATCAACTGTTGAATTTTTTGTTCATTACATATATTAACTCCACATTTTTTTTGTTGTTCTAATTGTTCTTTTGATACACTATTAAACGGAGTTAAAAGTTTGAGTTTCACTTCTTTAGCTGTACATCCATCTGCATGTCGACTTAAAATTACTGATCTCTTACAGTTCTACTGAGATTTAAACGAGTAATAGCTGATTCATATTGAATAGAAATGTTGATAGGAATATGCTGACCTTCAATATATAATTTAATGGGGAATCTTTCTGCAACCATACTAAGCATAACTTTGGTAGTTATACGAACTTTGCACTTATGCATATTATTGCCATTTTTTAAATTGTTTTTCATTTGATAATTTGAACAATTGAGTACACAATTTCTGAATCCACCACATATTCTCTGACAGTTCTCATCACCTGCACAATAAAAAACCTAATGCCAAATACATAGATCTGGAACTAAACCTTGCTGAATTTGAATAACATCATTCTGTCCCTTTTCTGTTAGTTCAAGTTTGTTATCTAAGCGATTTGTTGATTTTGTCATTCCATTAATGTAGTCCAACCTTTAAAGTCAATTGCATCTTCTTCACGTTTAAAAATAACAAGGTTTTTTTGAATCGCTTGATTTACTTTTTGTTGGCTTTGACATTTGAAACGTACACCTTTTACAATTGGTAATGATAAGATATATGTCTCGACAGCACATCCAAATGGTAAACCAATACTTCCATCCGTATTCATCTGATGTAACGTACGCATTGCCATAGTCGTAGGTATTTACAGTAACATATTTCGTCTTCCCTATAAAAGAATATTGGTAAGTTTCAGATTTCTCTAATTTAATGCACATAGCTTTAAGCAGATTACAAATGATACCTTTTTTTTTATTTTATTTAATTCACTGCACTGGAGCACCTTTTATTTTGTCTGGTCTATAACAAAGTATTGGTAAGTTTCAGATTTCTCTAATTTAACACACATAGCTTTAAGTATATTACTAACAATACCTTTGTTTATTTAATTATTTAATTTAATGAACTGGTGGCACCTTTTATTTCGTCTGGCCTATAACAAAGTATTTGTAAGTTTCAGATTTCTCTTATTTAACACACATAGCTTTAAGTAAATTACTAATATTACCTTTTTTTTTAATTTAATTCAATTCAATGCACTGGCGGCACCTTTTTTTATTTTAAATCAACATACTAACAACACCTTTATATCTCTTACTTCTCTCTTGTCTCCACTCTATCGTTCTTCACTCAACACATTTGGTTACAACACCTTCTACAACCACACAACACCTCAACCTCCAACTCCTCCTCAATCTACACTTAATGCGATGACATCTTTATCTCTACTCAACAAACTGCTGCTTACGTTCTTTATATTAAAGGTTTTTTTTCTTATTTTTGTTGGGAAAAAGAACCGATCTCTATACTAATTACGATTTTTTTTCCCTTTTATACTACAAATAATTTGATTGGTTAACGACATAAAATCGAGTGTGTAAGTTCACGTAATATCGATATTGCGTCATTGCATCACGTGAAGATCGGCATACGTTTATAAAAAAATAGGCCTTTTTTGTCAATCACCTGATGAATAAAAAAAAATGAACCCTGTGAATCAAAAAGGATGGATTTGCTATTTTTATATTTATAAATATTTTGTAAATAGATATTGCGAAGTATTATCAAAGAAAATTCAGATTGGAATCTTGATGAGATCGTTCAAGAAATGGAAGTTCGAAGTGGAAAGTATGTTTCAGTTTCAACTCTTTGGAGATCATTAATTTATTGTGGAATTACACAAAAGAAGGTTTATTTTTTATTTGTTTGTTTTATTTAACTATAGTAATTCTATTTATTTATTTATTTATTTATATTTTTTAGTTACATAAAATTGCTAAAGAACGTAATAAGTTGCTTCGAAGTAGTTTTATGATACGTATAGCTACTCAATATCAGTGTGAACAGTTAATTTTCTTAGATGAATCATCCAAAGATGAACATACAATTATTCGAGGTTATGGTTATTCGGATACAAATACAAGAGCAATAAAAAAAGCTGTATTTATTCGTGGTAAACATTATATAATATTACCAGCTCTTGCTTTAGATGGTATTATTGCAGTAAATATTATAGAAGGTAGTTATACAAAGGATAAATTTAAAGAGTTTGTGATTTCTCAAGTGGTATATATATTTTATATATTTTGTACATTATTATTATTAATAAAAATAACAATTATTTATATATATAATAGTTACCTCAAATGAATTCTTATCCTAATAAGCGAAGTGTATTAGTTTTTAATAATGCAAAAATCTACCATAATAGTGAATTGCTTGCATATTTAGATGCATTTGGTGTATGGGTAGAATTTCTTCCACCCTATTCACCAGATCTAAATCCTATCAAAATGGCTTTTTCATATATAAAAAATTATTTAAAAAGATATAATTATTTTGTAGAAAGCTGTTTAGATCCAATTTATCCTTTATTAATTGCTTGTTCACAAATTACACCTTTACTTTCTGATATATATTTTAATAAAGCAGGCTATAAAGAATAGTTTAAATTATATTATATTTAAATGTAATAATTAGAATTATTATATTTTATAGAATATTTGCAAAGTGTTAAACGATCTCCAACTGTTGTTATCCCACATTCTTTAAAATCTTCATCAGATAATAAAAAAAGTAATTGAACTGAAACTCTTTGCTGTTTTAATCCTGCTAAAAAATTTTAATAATATTCGCCAGTATCTTCACTTTCATCAACTTGCTTTAAAAAATCTTCAATTGTTGGTATAATTAAATTTGAAACTTGTAATGCTTGTTCAGAATTATGTGAACTAGAATATGATTGAGAAAGAGCTAAAAATGCTTGTAATGGATTATAAATTAGAAATGATAAATATGGATTTGGATTTGATTTAATTTGTAAATTGGCCAATTTTGCTTTAGAAGGATGTTGATATCTAAATAATGGATGTGTTGGTGGTTGTGTAGAAGTAGCTAATCCTTTATTCTATAATAAAAATAAAATTAAAATAAAATTATATAAATTAATTTATAATAATAAAATATATTTACTATTTCTGAAGCCCAAGTTGAAAGCATCATAAAAGTAATTTCAATATGACTTTCTTTTCCACTATCTTTATTTAAACATGCACGATTATGTATATTACAATAATTAGCAGTATGAATTTCTAATACATTTTTTGCCATTTGAGTTTCTTCTGATGTAAGATTAGAAATATTTGGAATTCGATTTTTATTTTTATGCACTTCTGTAGATTCAGTAGAATTATCTTCTATCTCAGTTTCAGAATTATTATTCTAAAATAAAAATATATTAATTAATTTTTATTTAAAATTAAACAAAACTTTAAATATATACTTACTTTTCGTTTACGCTTAGTTTTATTTGAATTCTGAGAATTAATAATTATAAAAATATCCATATTTGTGTTTTTTGTAGAAAGTTTTTGATAATCTAAACAGAATTTTTGAAAATCTTGAGCATCGGCTAATTGAGTTCCAGCACCTTTTGCCTTTTCTCCTTTAAATGCTATATGATAATCACATGCTTCAATTGATTCATCTTTTGTTAATGTGACTACATTAGTATGAATTTCTGCAAGAAGTTCATCAACTTCTGATACTATAATCGTATACCACTTAGCAGGTTGAAATTTTCCATCTAATTTTATAAAAACCCCATAATGAAACTTATATTCAACATTTTCGTCAGTAGAATAAGTATCTATTTCATTACTTTCATCAGATTCAAAAGTTTCTGATAAGTTTGTTTCATCTTCTGCTATAGTAAGATCGCAAACTTCTATATCTTGAGATACTTGTAAACTAGAAGGTTCGGATTCATCTATTTCTACTTCAGTTACAAGTTTAGAACTTTTGCTTCTTAAGATTAATCGAGATAAAGTACTATTGCATCGTGAGCAAAGTGAGAATTTAAAAGTTTTTTTTAAAGTTATCAAATAATTGAATATTTCAACTTTTTCTTTAATGAAAGAAAGTTGATCATCAGCCCAATTAGGGTTAAAAATTCTGGTAAACGCATATTTGACATCCTTAGTTCGATTGAGTCTATGTGGTGGTTGTGTTAACATGCAATTACATTTTTGCTGTTGCAAGTTAATTCCACAATATAAACATGTTCGACAGCCAAAGCAAGTTCCTCGCTTGTATTCAAGTTTTGTAAATTGACGATCAGACATTAGGTTCGTATAACAAGTAAAACAGCATTGTTTTGATTTATTATTTATAAATTATAAAAAGTTTAATTTTGATTAATATTCTGATTTCCTCCGATTTCCTGATTTCCTCATTTATACATGCATGATCAAATCAACGTGATCACACCTTTTTGAAAATAGCTATAATCAAAAAACATGCCTGTAATAATTCCTTTTGTTCTTTCTGTCGATTACTATTAGAAAAATTTGTAAAGAAAACAGAAAATTTGTACCCGGAGGTTAAAAGTAAAAATAGTTGTTGCCACAACCAAAGAGGTTCAAATCCAATACAAATTGTATAAACAATAAGAGGTGAAAAGAAAAGTGCAGGCAGAGAAGTAAAGAATTTAAGTAAAAATCAAGAATGTTCTTAAGGTTCATGTTTGTCTTTCACGATCATATTGAAAGTTTACCTTATTATGTAATCGATTTTTAATTATTAAATATTAGGTATAATATCAAATTCCTTGAGTTATATGACAAACGAAGTTAAAAATCACAAACAAATACCACTTGTCCCTGGATTGTTGCTAACATTAGAGTGGTAACCATTGTAAAAAAAATGATGACAGCTTTAACTACTTTGCTTGTAAAAAGTTTTAAAAAAGTAATCAATTGAAATGTCATTTTTCATACTCATTGTCCCGTCATTTCAGTAATCAGTAATCGAATGTTAAACTCTATTAAATCTTTAAACTATCCCAAAAAAGTCCTTTTATATTTGTACCACGAGTTTAATCAAGAATTATTCTTTTTTTGGTTAGAATTGTTATAAAGTGATTATTTGTTATTAGCTCACCATACAGATCATATATATCTAATATAAAAGTTAAATTGAATAGCGTCATTTGACGTCCCCAGATAAATGCTATCTAGTGGTTTTATTAATAAAAAAAAAAAAAAAAAAAAAAAAAAAAAAAACAAAAAAAAAAAAAAACACAAAAAAAAAAAAAAAGGGGAGAAAGAGAGAGATGAAAAGGAGGCAAATACAGACAATAACAATAAAAATAAATAGA